TCTTCAGCCCAACGAGTGTGCGAAATCCAGCAGGCATTTTGTTGGGGTTCCCCATCACAGATGGGAAGTACCAAGGCTCAGCGCTTTCCCCGCTGCTCTTCGTTGTCGTCATGAACGCCATTTCACGGGACCTCCAGAAGCCGGCTCCTTGGACGCTTCTCTACGCTGACGATGTGATGCTCGCCTGCGAGGATAAGAATGGTCTCGAGGAACAAGTGCAAGCTTGGACTGAACGGTTAGCAAACTTCGGGCTCAGATTGAACGTCAGGAGAACCGAGTACCTGACGACAAATACCTCGGGTCAACAATTATGTCTGACGGTAGTCTTGACTCAGAAGTGAGCGCGCGTGTGAGTGCAGCCTGGTCTAAGTGGCGGTCTATGACTGGCGTTCTCTGCGACAAGACGATACCAGATCGCCTCAAATCGAAGATCTACAGGACCGTCGTTCGACCAGTCGCGATATACGGTGCTGAATGTTGGCCTACGACCAGAGAAGTTGAAGCGCGCCTCGGAGTCATGGAGATGAAAATGTTGTGGTGGACCGCGTATGGATCGCATACGCACTGACGACATAAGGAAGAAATTCGGTGTTGCTCCTGTGGCCGAGAAAATGCGCGAAGCTCGCCTTCGATGGTATGGTCATGTTCTTCGCGCGAGTTGTGACACCGTCCGTAGGATTGGTCTTGTGGGATTTCCGGAAAGCGGCCTAAGGACGCCCCAAGCAGCGCTGGTCAGACACGTTGCATGCGGACTTAAAGATAGTTGGCACCCATCCCGATCAAGCATTCAATCGGGAGAAGTGGCGTGACAAAATAAGACGAGCGGACCCCGCTACAGAGCGGGACAAACGCTGAAGAAGAATCATCGAGCTAGTATGTATATAAACATTCATTACCACGTATCATAGCACGAGCTTTTTTTAGATCATTGCAAGAGGGTGTCAAAAAGTCAGCGCTCTATTGATACCATGCACTGCCACTAACCGGACTATGCAGCCATGGCGGCTTAACCAGCCTGTCAAAGCCGGTTCTAGCTGAAGAAGTCGATCTCCCTCCAAATATCCTGTATGAATCCGTGCTCCATCAAATGCAGCTACACTGGGTGTTGTCTGTTGGTGCGGAATCTCGCACAAGACTGTATAACACCTCTCCCCATCTGAGCGGACTTAGCCACCGCAAACTGAAGTCTCGATAACTCCGCAGCGTTGGCCGACCACGTCCGATAAGTTCTGACTAGCTCGAATACAAACAAGCACTTAATGCTAACACCTCAGTAGGATACCTCTGGGAACTGCCAGTAGCCAAAGAAGCATCTTGAATGACCCATTGTCGCCCTTTTCCAGGGTGGAAATTGAGTTCATTCAACAAAGACGCCTCGCCTCGCTAAAATCCAGAAGTATTGTTTAGAGCATGTTGTCACGTCCACTCCTTGATACAACCACCTCAAATCGATCTCATCCGACTAGTTAATGGATGGTTTACTTTATTCTGCG